TAGGGAAAGAACCAATAGGAGATGGTGAAAGCAGCACAGTGCAAAATGCAGGTTACTGTTGGAAGAGGTCCCCCCTCCATTTTGCCACAGCACCCCAACATTCCAAGATTTCTGATGAGCCTGAATCCCCAAAATAGCCCTCCTCCACCCAGTCCCTCCCTGAAGAGGAGATGATCTGAATCAACCAGTGTATCCCCCATGTCTGCCTCCAAGTACTCGTTCTCCCCTTTTCTTACTGTCTGTAGTGTGGGCACGAAGTGCCACTGCATGGCGCTTGAGGTCGATGGCTTCTAACGCTGCAGCTGTCCGCTCCACAACAAAATCCTTCCCATACTTGGACAGAAGGTGATCAGTAAGGTTCTCAACTTCTGCGGCCTGCAGTACCCTTCCAGGAGTATTACTGAAGCCTTCCTTGCGGAGCTTGTCTTTGAAATTCTTGAATTCATAACTAGGCAAGGTCTCCAGAGTTGATACGAGGCAGTCACGGACTGTCCTTTCTGAATGCAGGAAAGAAAAAAAATGTATGGCTCAAAATAAGCATGTTTTAGTCTATTCCATTTGTCCCAGGTATACATTAACAATTTGTTTCTCCACACACATTAGTAATTTTTTTTCAAGTTGCATTTTCAATCAAGTTTAGAAAGGACAGGAAGGGAAAGAGGGGAGGAGGCTTGGTGTTATATGTCAGGGAATGGAAAGGATGCAATGAGATACAATGTGGTGCAGCTGGGGATCTGATAGCGGTGGTCTGGGTGAAACTAAAGAGTTTCAACAGGGGGAGAAACCTGACAGTGGGGTATGTTATCACCCTCCAAGTCAAATTGAGACCCTGGATGATGCCCTGATAGACCAGATTCGAAGGATAACTCAGGGAGGGACACAGTAATTATGAGACATTTCAATCTCCCAGATACTAGCTTTGGGTCTCACTCACTGTTCCCTGTCCCTCAGACTGTTGGGGGGCTGGACTATAGTTTGAAAAAATATGAATGAATTTCTATGTACACTGCACATTAAAAAATTAATTAAAACTAAAATAAATTTAAAAATTAAAAATTTAAAAATGTTTGCTAGGGCTGCAGCTGAAGGCCAAGATGACGCTGTGCTGCCCGCTGAAAGTGAGAGCACGACACGAGGGGGAGCCATGAGAGCGCGCTTGTCTTGATCGAGGCCTTCCTGGCCCCTCACTGGTGCCCTGCTTCTGAGCTGGAGGAAGGTCCCCTCAGAGGCGCTTGCCTGGCTCCAGGAGGGGGAGCGGGAGTGAGTGGCCAGAGAGTAGAGCGCCGGGCAGCATCCCTGACTGGGAGAGGGCCGCGAGGAGGGTGGTAATGGCTGCTTTCCGAGATGAGAGGAGGTGAGTGGGGCACCTCCCACCTCTTCCCACGGCAGGAGGAAGAAGCATGACAGCCACTTGACAGTGGTGGCAGCTTGCCCAGAGAAGGCCACAGCCTCGCTCCTGCTCTGCCTCGGCCCATCTGTCCCCAGGCTCAGCGAGGCGCCCACGGCTTGGCCCATAGCCCAGGGAAGTCGCTCACATAGTTAGAAATAGATTTAAAAAGTTATATTTTTCTTACCTTCTATCTTTTTTTAGTGTCTTCGTCGCTCTCTCTCTCTTCCCACCACTCTCCTCTCTTCTGTATTCCTACTCTGTATTCCCACTCTGTATTCAAAGCCAACACATGCATGCAATACAGAGAAGAGCCAGTGCACGTGCAGTTGAAGTTGTTACAATTTAGCGTGTGCACCGGCTCTCTCCTAGTCTCTGAAACTGAAAGAGTTTCAGAGGATGCCTGTGCCAGCTCAGAGCTTTCGGACTCGTTCAGAGATCACTTTCTCCGACCGAATCCAAAAGATCTGAGGCAGGCCGGGTAAATGACCATGGTGGGCTGTATCATGCCAATGGGCTGTACTTTGAGGACCCATGTCCTAGACCAGTGATGGCAAATCTTTTAGAGAACGAGTACCCAAACTGCAACCCAAAACCCAATTATTTATTGCAAAGTGTTAACACTACAATGAAACCTGAAAAATGAGGTTTTAGTTTAGAAAAAACAACTCACAGTCATCCTTGGCAGCACACTGACCAGCCATATGCAAGTTTGGACGAGTCACAGCTAATGAGTCGGGGCTCATGACATCATTGCATTTCTGAGCACGCACATGGCCCATGTGCGCGCTGTAATCCGATGCTCGGTTGCTGCGGCAATACTGGCGTGACTTGGCTCACATGCGGAGAGAGAGGGCTCTGCGTGCCCGCTGTGTCACACATGCTATAGGTTCTCCACCACTGCCATAACCCTACCCTGGTGCACTCCCCTAACCTTAATATTGTGGGGGGGAATACCACTGAAAGGGACAATTTTGAAATACCCTTCCTTGAGTAGCTTTTTCTACACAGCTCATCATTCTTCTCATTCTAAACACATTCCAACCATTGTAACCCTAATCTTGCCCCGGTGCACACCCCTAACGCTAATATTTGCCCTCCTGCCCCTTGAGATTGGCGGCAGAGGCCCTCCTCCAGGAACCCTCTGTGAAAGACGTTAGGAGAATGAGTACCCGGAGGAGGGCTTTCTCTGTGGTGGCGCCCCACCTATGGAATGTGCTCCCCTGAGAGGTCCGCTCGGCCGCCTCGTTATTTGTTTTTCAGCGCCAGGTCAAGACCTTTTTATTTAAACAATATTTTAATAACTGTTAACATTATTTGTTTTAAGTCTACTGCCAGGGTGAATCCGGATTTTATATGTATTATTTATATGCTTGTTTATTTATTGTATTGGAAGCTGTCCCAAGGCTCATGCGAATGGGACGGCATACAAAAACTCCAAATAAATAAATAAATAAATAAATGGCGAAAGTTCAATTGAAAAGAGGGATTTTGAAAAAGCCTTCCTTGAGTAGCTATTTCTGCACAGCTCATCATATCTGCCCATTCTAAACACATTGGAACCATCAAAATCAGGCCAGGACACCACGTTTTTCTAACCCCAATCCCACATTATAGAGGGTGAAAGTTCAATTGAAAATAATGTGAATTTGAAAAAGCCCTCCTTAAGTTGCTTTTTCTGCACAGCTCATCATTTCTGCCCATTCTAAACACATTTCAACCCTCAAAATCAGGCCAGAACACCTCGTTTTTCTATCCCTAACACAGTGATGGTGAACCTTTTAGAGACTGAGTACCCAAACTGCAACCCAAAACTCACTTATTTATTGCAAATGCCAACACTGCAAGAAAACCTGAAAACTGAAGTTTTAGTTTAGAAAAAACAACTCACAGCCTGTTCAAGCAAAAAATATATATCCTTGGCAGTGCACTGACCAGCCATGTGAAAGCTTGGATGAGTTGCGGCTAATAAGTTGCGGCTCGTGACATCATTGCCTGGCGCTGAGCATGTGCATGGCTGCTATCTGCCCTTTTATCTGATGCTCAGCTGCTGGGGCAATGCTGGGGCGACTTGGCTCGCATGCCGACGGAGAGGGCTCTGCATGCCCACTGCGGCACGCGTGCCATACGTCCGCCACCACTATCCTAGGCAGTATAGAGGAAGGGCTATTCATGCAGAGGGTCTGGGAGGCAACAAGAGGGGGAAATGGTCTTGACCAACAAGGAGGAGTTGATCGATGGGGTGCAGATTAGAGGAGCTCTGGATGGGAGTGATCATTCCATCCCTTGCTTTGAGATCAGGGAATGGGGATGAGTGGCAGGCCAAGTATTAAAAGCTGGTACTTTACAAGGGCAAACTTTGGTCAATTGAAGACCAAACTGGGGAAAGTCTCATCGTTGAGGGTAATGGAAGGTAAGGGAGTTGAAGAGGGGTGGATGGCACTAAAAAGGGACATCTTGGAGGCACAAGTTTTGATGATACCTCTAGTTAACAAGGCAGGGAGGCAGGACATGATTTGCAAATGGGTTGGAACACTTATATGTGGTATGAGAAGTGTAAGGCACATGGTTGTTTTTTAAATCATTATATTAGAAAGTCATTAATGTTGGTGAGGGAAAAATTAAAGACAAAACTGTACATTAAATTACCAAGATGGCTTTCACCTATGGAAGCTCTTGTATATCCAAATGCATTGAATTTTGATATGATTATGAGATATGATGATATTCTGGATAATGATGGAGGATTGAAACCGAACCAAGAATTACAAGATCAGGGAATTAATATTTCTTGGTGGCATAAGGTTCAAGTACAATCGAGATATGTTAAAGATTATAAAATGTGGGGTTTTTATAAGGAGTTAACAACATTTGACCAAGTGATCTTAAAATCAGATGAGAAAATGATTAAAAGACTGTATAATTTTCTTTTAGATATGAGAATGGAAAATGAACAAGGAAACTATGATAATTTGGGCACAAAATTTTGGATATAATATTAAGCTACAGAAATGGTAAAAGCTGTGGGAAAGAAATATTAAAGTAACATTAGCAACCTCATAAAAAGAAAATCTTTATAAAATGTTTCATAGATGGTATCTATCAAGAAATAGATGTTTCCAAATACGTCAAATGGATGTTGGAAATGCAAACATAAACCGGATACTTTTTATCATATGTAGTGGACTTGTGATAAGGCAAAAAAATACTGGGCTAAAATGGCTTGAGGGAATGTTACAAAAACCTTTAATATTTAAACCTGAAGTATTCTTATTAGGTATTGTACCTGATGATGTTGATAATCAAGCAATGTATTTGATTCTACATGTAATTACTGCAGCAAGGATTGCATTTGCCCAACATTGGAGGAGTGAAGAACCGCCTACCGATGAACTGATTTTAAAAAAGTTCTTGGACTGTGCCGAAATAGACAGATTGACTTTGTCGCTGAAGGAGAAAGAGGATAAATACTTCTATAAAACTTGGAACTCTTTTTATTATTGGCTAGAGAAATGGGACTATGCATAGATTTAAATATGTTTATGGATTACTATAAAAAAAAGTATGGGGGGCTGACCCAGTAGGTTTGATGTTTCTGATGACTGATGGTTTTTAGTTTCTTTTTGTTAGTTGGCAGAAAAATAATAATAAAACTTACTTTAAAAAAAAAGGCAGGGAGGCAAAGGAGAGTGCCCCCATGGATGAGAAGAAAAGTGGTAAGAGACATTAGGTATAAGAGGAACCTCCACATGAAATGGATACTGGAGCAAGCAGACAAAAGGATATACTGGGAGGAGGAAGCTCATTGCAGAAGAATTATTTGCAAGGCTAAGGCTAATTATGAGCTGAGACTTGTAAAAAATATCAGGAGCAACAAAAAGGGTTTCTACCAACACGTAAATAGCAAGAGGGAGACAGGCGGTGGGACCACTTATCCCCCCATGTCCGCCTCCAAGTACTGGTTCTCCCCTTTTCTTACTGTCCGCATTACGAAGTGTCACTGCACGGTTCTTAAGGTACATGGCTTCCAGCACTGCAGCCGTCTGCTCCACAACAACATTCTCCTCATAGGTGGACAGAAGGTCATCAGCAAGCGTCTGGACTTCGGCAGCCTGCAGTATAGCTTCAAAAGTATGCATGCGGCATTCCTTCCTGAGTCTGTACTTGAAATTCTTGAAATTGTGATCATCCAAGCCCACCAGAATGGATATGAGGCAGTCACGGACAGTCCTTTCTGAATCTAGGAAAGGGAAAATGCATGGGTCAACGACAGTATTTTTTTTTTCTATTCTATTCTTCCCTCTCATAAAAATTAACAATTTGCTTCTCAACACGCATTAGTAATTTTTTGTTAAAGTTGCATTTTCAATCAAGTTGAAGAATGATTCACATGAAAGGGTGGGTTGGATGGGAGTGCAGCTGCCTGGATAAACACACAGTTGGGCCTGTACCAAGACCAGAACAACAAACGTATCCTACAGCACTGAATTCAAGAGCCAGTGTGCTGGGTAGAGTGTCGGACTGGGGATCACGGAGCAACACGTTCTGCTCCCCACTTGACCATGAAGCTCGCTAGATGACATTGTGCCTGTCACAGACTCTCAGCCCAACCTACCTCAAAGGGTTGCTGCTTTCAGGATAAAATGAAGCTAGGTAAGCTGCTTTGGATTCCTCAGAAGAGGGAAACAAGTGGGACATGGGACAAAAGTGGAAGTCTGGATTATATGTTAAGGCCACAATTGGCAACCATGCCAGGGGATTCTGAAATTACTTAATCCTATGCATGTGTGATTCCCAGCACAGAGCTCCCTTCCACCCAGTCCCTTCCTCAAGAGGAGATGAACTGAATCGACCAGTGTATCCCCCATGGCTGCCCCAGTGCTGCTTCTCCCCTTTGCTTACTGACTCCAGGAACAGTACGAAGCCTCACTGCATGGTGCTCAAGCTTGATGTCTTTCAGCACTGCATCTGACAACTCCAGAGCATAATTCTCTCCGTATTTGGAGAAAAGGTGATCACTCAATGTCAGGACTTCTGTGGTCTGCAGTATCTTTTCAGGACTATTCTTGAAACCCTCTTTGACAGGGAACTTGCTGAGTTTGTCCTTGAACCTGCTGAATTCATCCATGTCCAACTGCTGTAGGGTCTTCACCAGGCAGTGATGGATAGGATTTCCTGAAGCTGGGAAAGAGAAAAAAGGCATGGCTTGAGATCAGCCTGAAGAGGTCTTAACTGCCTATGTAGCCAAAAAATCTATTATATCTGGAGGGCACTGAATGCCAAATCACAACTCCCTTTTCTACTACTGAAACTAGTAGAAACTTCTTTTACAGACTAATCCTTTGGCCAAGGCCACAATGCAATTAGCCAGAGGATTCCTATCATTAGATCTTTACATTATGATTACCTATCATGGACACACCCTGTTCTCATGGAATCTTCATTTACACAAACTTAACATCTGGAGTTAGCAGTACATGTTATCTATTTATTATATTTATTTACAATATTTTTATCCCATCCTATGCAATCCAATCATCTCAGGATGACTCACAATATAAATAAACAATAAGTAAACATCAAGAAATACAATAACAAAATGTGACTGAGAATATTGATAAAATCAAGTTATTTTTTTTTAACCTTAAAATGTTGGGTGAATAAAAAGGTTCTTACCTGGCACCAAAAAGAATATAAAGTTGGTGCCAGGTGAACCTCTCTGGGGAGCGCATTCCACAGTTGGGGAACCACCACAGAAAAGGCCCTTCCTTCTTTGCCATGACAGATAGGGGTTTAGAAGTGAAGTTTGTGGAATCAAGAATATATGATTATATATGTAGAATGCAAGGTTTTGAAAAACATCCACTTTTTGGGAAAGTGCTTCCAAAACCAAATTATCTCCTAAAATATAAGACTACCTGGTTCTTTATGTATGTATTGTTGGAAGCATGTAAAATCCTGGAATCCTGGGCTTGCTATTAGAACTCAGATTTCCATCATAATCTTATCAGTAAGCTACTTAGGACAAGGCTTGCCTCAAGAAGAATGTGAATGTTGGTCCATTATTTCTGCTTCACAATTTGTATAGTCAAACTTCCTATGCTCACCCTTATTGTTTTCTGCAGATTGACTAACAAGCCAGCATTTGGGTGAGAAACAGTTTGGGTTCAATAAGAGAGTTTTTCATTGAGAGATTTAGTTTGTATTTAGCCTTGTAATTAAGCCTTCACATGTGTACAGGCAAACACACACACAAGCACCCAAAAGAAGCTGAGGCAGCTGTCTCAGCTGGCTGATTTGGGGTGCCATGAAAAGGCAGCTGACCCAGCCAGCTGTTAGATCTATTCCAATTTTAAGAAACCATAAGGGACAAGGATCAAGGAAGGTGGAGTTGCATGAACCTGCCCCAGTACTTCCTTAGCTTCAACAAGCTGTACAACTGAAACTCATCCAACAAAACTGTTCTCAGCTGTGCTCTGGATAGTCCCCTGATTCACTTGCCAGAACAATTTCATTTAATTTAATTCCTAGATGATAAAAGATAATTTATTTTGGAAGAAATTCTGGTAGTTGAATTATCTCCTTAGCATGAGCATATGATAAGTCCCCAACAACCTCTTTGAGCAACATACCAGAGAACCATGAAGAATGAAAAGTAATGGTTCTTGGCCAGTTTCTCTTTCTCTGTTATAGATCAAACATGGCCATTCATCACTTTTTTATTCTATCTGTTGGGCATTTTTCTCCATCAAGAGATTCCTGCCCCCACCAGCCACAGACACAGCCAATTTCATTTCTATCAGCTTCAGGGTATGCCATGGAACTGTACAAGCTCTGCTAATCTGGCCAAATGCTCAGGAGCAATTCTGTCACCTACCCCAGCCAAATCTGCATTCTGTACATCAACTCACACACACTCGGTCAACCCAGTGAACTTGCTCCCCACCCATCCTGGCATAGACTGACTGCAATGCAGGCTGAATGTCCCCAGATAACAGCTGGGGAGGGAAGAGTTAACCCTCCTCTTCCTTGGCACTGCAATTCCAATTGAAATGTCCCCCCTGCAATCAGGATTAAATAATTAAGACTGAACATCGACATCTTAGGAATCAGTGAACTAAAATGGACAGGAATGGGTGAATTTAATTCAGATGACCATCAGATATACTACTGTCGGCAAGAATCCCTCAAAAGAAATGAAGTAGCCTTCATAGTCAATAAAAGAGTAGGAAAAGCAGTACTGGGATACAATCTCCAAAATGACAGAACAATCTCAGTTCGAATCCAAGGCAAACCATTCAACATCACAGTAGTCCAAGTCTATGCCCCAACCACTGGTGCTGAAGAGGCTGAAGTTGACCGGTTCCATGAAGGCCTACAACACCTTCCAGAATTAGCACCCAAAAATGATGTCCTTATCATCATGGGGGATAGGAATGCTAAAGTAGGAAGCCAAAAGATAACCAGAATAACAGGCAAGTTTGGTCTTGGAGTACAAAAT